TATAAATGATATGTATATGAATTATATAACTAAAATTAAATAACTGTAATTACAGATTTAGGTTAAATAAAGATATCAGTCTTTATTTTTCTTCTTTTTAGGGCAGCAGTAGCTCTAGCAGCAAATCAACCATCCACATCAAAAGCTGCAGGACAGCCCACATTTCAGAAACAAATCAAATAAAAAATAAACAAATACTACTGTTCCAAATATTCTGTATGTTGCTCAAACTATATTGTGTTCAGTATTTAGAGCTGTCTCAGAGACACATTTTAGAGCTGTAACAACAATACCGTGACACCGTGACACCGTGATATTTTTTGCTTAAGGTTATCATACCGTCAAAATCTCATACCGGGTGATGACACAGAAGAACTCATCCACAATATCCACATTGACCGCCACAAATATCCACCGCCCCCTGCCATCAGCTCCCGCGTCTCACACACACACACGAGCGTGACTTTAGCACTAGATTTAGCAACTTTCAGACCCTTTTAGCGGCTTTTTCCCATAGAATATTCATACTGACAAATCTAGCGATAAACCTTAGCTATGGTTCAGTTGGAAGATTTCGCCAGTGCTGTCCCGCAAACTAGAGGTCTGACTTTCCCGGAAAAGTGTCGTCTCTCGCCGTCTGTTCTGTGCAGTGAGCGGCAGAGAAGCAGCGCATTTAGTTGGCTACACCGCAGCCGACTCAATAAATGAGTACAAAACAGCGTTTCCTAGCACCTGTCGCTTACTGATTGTTTGGAATTATAAATATGAGCGTAGTTCGTCTGTTAATATCACATGCACTTTTTTGTTTGTTGTTTTTTTTTAGTTTGTTACTCAGACGCAGGCAGTGCGCTGCATGAGACAAAAAAGTAATATAGCCCAAACAACCGCATAGCCGCAAGATGCATGTTGATTTTATCAGATGATTATAAATGAGAGTGACTCCTGGTTAACATGTATTAAAAGGGGTCGTGTTTAGTCACTATTTAGTGTGGTATTTTTTGACAATATTCACTCATCATGACAGTAAAATAGGGCATTCTAAGTCAATATACTGCAGTATTTCCTCTCAATCAGTAGAAAATATGGTTAACACTCGGTCATGCATGAAAAAAAAATACCGTCTTGTACCGTGAAACCGGTATAATTTTGGAAAATACCGTGATATAAATTTTTGGTCATACCGCCCAGCACTAGGTGGTTTCAGTTTGTTTTCTTCAACAGGACGTTGTGATCCAACAAGATGATGAAATTCGACTGAAGATTGTGGGAACTCGAGTGGATAAGAATGATATTGTAAATCCATGTCACTTTTTTTAAAGACAATTTCAATTTGGATATAATTCTAAAGGTTTTTAATTATTCAATTACTTTTTTTGTTTCTTTTTTTATTAGTTTGCCATTGGATCTCTCATGGATGACTACCTGGGTATGTATTATTTTCTTGTAATGAAAACATCTGTCACAGCTGTGTTTACAGTCACTTGCTGTTTTATAATTTACAATAACTGTTGTATTAAAATATCAAAACAGATTCTTTCAATTCATTTCAATGTTGTTTCCCCCCCAATAACGTATTGTCTATTCTTTGTCTAATTTATGTTGTACTATCCAACTATTGTCTTAAGAGTTTTATTCTCATTCTTCTAGGTCTTGTGAGCTGATTCTTCTGCCAAGAATATAAGACATATGAAACTTGATGCTGTGGTGATGCTAAATAGTTTGTATATACTGTAATTATTTTCCCATTCATTTGAAATTGTCTTTTCCCCCCCCTCTTTTTATTGTTATTTTTATCCCCATGTTAGTAGTATATCCATAGTTTTCCCATGGCAACAGTTCAATTGTGGAAAAGCATCAGGTTAAATGGGAAGAGCATGTAGCTCTACGTGATGGAAAGACTTTGAATTGTTTAATTAAAATATCATCAGTTGGACTCTTCAGATATTGAAAGATCCTGTGAGCAAAAGCAATTCACAAGCATGTTATGGAAAGTCAAAGGTATCATTCATCACATTGCTTTTAGAGTTATTCATCTCTGAGGTCATTTTTAAACACATATTTGTAAATGCCAGCCAGCCTGTACTTGAATATATTTCTCTTTTGTAATACAGCACTCACAAAATGTTGGCCTTGTCTCCGTCTGGTTTTCTTGTTTTAGTTATTGCTTGTTCTGTGATTCTTTTGTAAGAGAGGCGTAATACATAGGACACAGTGAGCATTGCTGATTTTTGCTAATATTTTGATATTGGTACCCCACTCTGAAAACGATATTATTACTGCAACAGCTTTGGCTGGAAAATGTTTGTAATTCAAATGTTCTTTCATGCCAGTGGCACACTGCCTACTGAAATATTTAAAGGAAGAGTTCACCCCAGAAATAATCATTTGAATAATATTTACTCAAAGTTCAAGTGATATTGCTATGCTCTTATTGATTATGAACCAGTAATTAAATCAGCCAAATATGTTTAATAAATGTTTTTTCTATTTTTTTCCCCACCTTAATATTCAAAACCTGTATGACCTTATTCAGTGGAACACACAAAAGCAGATGCTGGACAGAACGGCAGGGACAGTCTGTTATTAGATGATTTTGTATTTTTATAAAAAAGGACTTTACATTTTATTTCAGTGCTTTCTCAGATTGGAATACAATGTGGGATCGAATTTTTATTAAAAAAAAACAAATAAGCTTTATAAACAAAACTTAGAATGACAATATTCTATTCATTCATCCATCCATCTATTCATTCTATTTATTCCAAAATGAGACTTCTACCTGAATATCAAAAACTATCACGATGTTCCCTAAAAATAAAAACACGTTTATTATTAAACAAGATAAAAATGAGTCTATACATTTCACAACAGGTGTTACCAAAAAAGGAACAAGAAAATTACAATTTGCAATAAATTAAAAGAAGTGCACGACGTGTCTTCCTTTTTTAGCTTCTTATGCCATTCAAAAGAGATCCATATAATTTAATTTGGTTTATAAAATGCTTAAAATATTGCTTATCTTTAGTTAATTTTCTCACATGAATCTGATACTTTCCAAACAAAATAAACAAATGTATAAAGAAGAAAAAGCATGTCCAGCTCTCACTTTCAAGTCTTTATTGCTTTTTATTTTTTTATTTTTTTTTACCTGATAAATATTAATTTTATTATTCGGTTGTTGCTTTTTTTATTTTTTATTAATGAAAATAGAACAAATAACAAACAGAGCATAGCATAAGACAATCAGTGCTATACAAAGTGTGACATTAATTAGTAACGGGAACTGAAAATAATGTCATAATATTTTAAACATGTTAATGACTTTTTGTTTTTTAGTCCTTATTGCGTATTATTTCTGCGACAGGCCTGGCCTATACGTCAGCACCGCGCGACCCGTTCCTCCTTTCTCTCGTCCTGAAGATGGCGGCAGGGGTGAGTAAGATGGGAGAAAACCCTTAGACGCCTTATTACAGTACATCTCCATCCACAATCACCCCGTAATCACGCCGATCCTTATATCTTTATGCGTTGTTGTCGAGCCGTATTATTTTATAGCCTCTTTTAAAGCTGGCGTGATGATTATTTTTGCTGTAAATATTCCCCACACGCCTTTATAAGGTGGTTAGAGTGATGACGGACAGAAGCGCAGCGCTGCGCTCCTTTGTGCCACGTTGCCCTTGCGTTCCCGTCCACGCCTTTCACTCCGCTTTAAACATTTAGAGTTTGGCGGAGTGTCATGTTATTTATTTTTAGCTTCACATTAAATATATGAAAGCGAAGCGCATGTATCAGCAGCGCGAGCTGGTATAAAAGCGTAACGTTAGTGAGTTGAGAAGCATTCATTGCGACATTTTTAAACGATTGACATCCAATTCTGAAATCTAGCGTTGATGTCAAATTTGAGGGTATTAAAAGTCTTACTCGGAGGTTTCAAAGCTTAACACCACCAGATGGGTTACAAATAAATGTACTGAAACGTCCAGTGTTAGCTAGCTCTCTATTTGTGTATGCAAACTGTTTATAGTGTGTGAGGTAATTTATTTCAGGGAATTGACTGTCAGCTGTGTCCGCCTGAAGTGCTGTGTAATGCTCTGCGAGTGGTCATAATGAAGGGACAGCTTCGGTTGGCACGGAGTTTGTGTTACAGATGACTGGGTCTGAACGAGCAGCATCAGTTTCAGCAATGTGATCTCAAACCTTGTGTTTCTGCAGACTCTCTACACATACCCAGAGAACTGGAGGGCCTTTAAGGCTCAGATCGCTGCCCAGTACAGTGGGGCTCGTCTGAAGGTTGTGAGCACCTCCCCTGCCTTCACCTTTGGGCAGACGAACCGATCCCCTGCTTTCCTCAGCAACTTTCCCTTGGGCAAGGTCAGTATTCTCATGCCTTTTTTAATGCATGTGTTCTGGATGTAGATGGAATTTATTCATGTTCCTGTCCATTTAGGTTCCTGCTTACCAGGGTGATGATGGCTTCTGTCTGTTTGAGAGCAATGCCATTGCTCACTTCTGTAAGTAAGCGTTATAGGGCCTATCTGTGCTTGGCCACTTCATGAATTTCTTTCGATTGGATAGCGATTTGTTAAAAGGGCTCCATTCGCACTTTCACAGAAATTTTTATCCTCAAAACAAATATAAATCTTTGGTTCTTTTGGTATATGGAAATTCAACAGAGGTGTTGCATTTCATTCATCCTCGGATTTCAAAATCAAAGGCCGCAATAGGTGAGAGAGCGAGCGTGCATTCAGCTGTTTTAATGAAGATGACTGTGTGTTGAGCTTTGGGATGCGATGCTGAACATTGAGTTTTCCTAAACGGATCCTAAATTGCATTGATTTTTTTTTCCTAAAGCAATAGTGAGGAGTAAATTAGGGTGTATAAAGGCAGAAGCTGATGTGAGTTTTCTTGTGTACGCTAATTGAAGAGCATGCATTTGGAACTCCTATACCAGTAATTAAAATAGTTCAATGTCTTTTATTAAAGTGTAAAGATAAAAAGGCAGTCACAATATGCATTCATTGCTGGAAAATGAGCAACATTATAACTGCCGTTTATTAATCACATTAATTTATATTTGCAAAATTTGCCGATAATTGCCTACACGCATGATTTGCAGAAAGCATCCAATGCCTGCCACACATGTTTTCAGAGAGCACATATTATAATAATTTATATGATCCATAAAGAGATATTTGTGTTTTATAGGTGTTGATGCATTTGTACATATTGCATTTGATTTTAATATGACCTGCAGTTTATGAAGAGGGATGCATTCGGAATTTTCTTTTTTTGTGTGTGCATTCGTATGTTTTAATTTTATGAACCGTTGTATGTACAAATTTTAAATGAGGTACCAGGTCTTTTTTTACGATCAGAGGAAATGCCTGATGTGGCCAAGTGTAAATAGGCTCATATATGAACTATTGGAATGCTTTAAAAAACGTTTAGTGTTTTATTACACACAATTATTGCTGTTGTTTCCTCCTGACAGTGAGCAATGATGCCCTTCGTGGCAGCACTCCCCAGGACAGTGCCAAGGTGCTGCAGTGGGTCAGTTTTGCTGACTCTGAGATCATCCCTCCAGCTAGTGCCTGGGTGTTCCCCACCTTGGGTATCATGCAGTTCAACAAACAGGTTAGCTTTGAATATGTTTGTGTAATGGTTTCATCTGTCAGGAATTGAATGGTTTTTGTAAGTCTGCACTCTGTCTTGTTTGTAGGCCACAGAACAGGCTAAGGAAGAGGTGAAACGCGTCCTCGCCATCCTCAATCAGCACTTAAACACTCGCACTTTCCTGGTTGGGGAGAGAGTCAGTCTGGCTGACATCACTGTTGTCTGCTCTCTGCTCTGGCTTTACAAACAGGTGAGTCTGCAGGGTGCCATGAAAACCTGAGCTGTGACCAGGTTGTATTAATTAGGGATGTTGATTCACAAAATAGGCCCATATGTATCTGGGCCCGTATGTATCAAGCCTCTGAGAATTACTCTCAAGAACGCTGCTAAGAATTGACTTAAGTGTAAAAAAACTTCTTGGCTCAAAGCTGCGCTTAAAAGTTAGTTATCAAGCATCTCAGTCGTAATTTAAGCGAAGTGTAGGACTAAATCTTAAGTGTCAGTCTTAGAGTTGATTCACGACACGCCACAAACGGGGATTTTGGATGACGAAATACGCATGGACCAATCACTGAATAGATTTCCTTATTTAAGAATATTCTCCGATAAATTTGCATTGAATGGTTAAATTCCTAATAGGAGTTTACATTCAACACGCATTTGACAATAAAGAATTTTCAAGAGAATACATTATGGTAAGGAAACGAATCGTCATCACAACCTTCAATTTAGGGTTGTGCCGGTAGACGATAGTATCGTGTATCGACGATAGTCAGAGATATTGCCTGTTGCTGATTTCTTTGACGACAGCAAGACGATTATTATTATTATTATCCATCAAAAATATAGGCGCCTATCTTTAGTGATGCAGCGTGGAGAGCTGCTTCAGAAACTTGCCGCAGCGCGGGTGGTGAGTAGCTGGGATCAGCTCCGGTGTCCGTGTCGGAGCCGTCACGCGCCGCAGACGTGTGCAGTGTAAATAAGGGGTAAGAGATTTCTAGATCCAGTGTAGGTAGCTTCACTGATTATAACGGGAGTGTTTTTAAAGAGCATATAATACTCGCGCTAGACTGAAGTCAGTTATGATGTTTTTTGGTAATGTCAATATTCTTTGCTCGTTTCTGTTTGAATAACTGAGGAAATGTAACGGTTTTATTAACTGCTCGTTGTCAAACATTTCAAGAACATTCTTCCTCTCCTGAAAGATTTGCATACGTCTCTGTCTCCTCAGCGCCATCACAAGCCCCAACTGGCAACTCCTAACCACTTGAGAGACCTCTCGAGCGGTCTCAAATAATTGCGAGAGTAAGAGTGATT